TTTTTTTTTTAAAGTCATTTGCTTATTGGGTCGTGGCATGTGAAGTGAAACATATTTCCAGAAATTTTCTACATCTCAAATAACCAGGTAGACGTCTAGTGTTTTTTTGTTGTTTTTTTTTAGTGCATCACTTGATACAAGAAATAGGAGACAGTTATTTTAAAGTCTTGACAACACCGGGAACAGCTCATGTGGAATGCTTCCTGTAATAATAAACTAAACCATCGATCGTCCATGGTTTTTGATTGATGATCATTTTAAGTGTTGAGTTGGTATGGGATACACTCCATGGTTTTGATTGATGATCATTCCAAGTGTTGAGTTGGTATGGGGTACACTCCAGGTTTTTGATTGATGATCATTTTAAGTGTTGAGTTGGTATGGGGTACACTCCATGGTTTTTGATTGATGATCATTTCAAGTGTTGAGTTGGTATGGGGTACACTCCAGGTTTTTGATTGATGATCATTCCAAGTGTTGAGTTGGTATGGGGTACACTCCAGGTTTTTGATTGATGATCATTCCAAGTGTTGAGTTGGTATGGGGTACACTCCAGGTTTTTGATTGATGATCATTCCAAGTGTTGAGTTGGTATGTGGTACACTCCAGGTTTTTGATTGATGATCATTTCAAGGGTTGAGTTGGTATGTGGTACACTCCATGAGCGCAATCTTAAAATGTAATTCGTATGATGAATATTTCGACGTTAAAAAATATTAGAATATAGGCTGTTACTTTGAAGTAACTAGACGGCGACCGACCAGTGACACTTCGTACACCGTAACGTTGATCTGAGAGTCTAGTAGGAGTAAGTTAAAAAAACGAACATATTATCCTTGGGTGAGACAAACAGACGTTTATTTTTTATCTATGTAAAACATGTAACGGCAATGAGACAATGTCTGTTGATGGACATTTCACCAAATGTAGGTCGAATAAAGTTAAATTTAGTTAGCTGACGAAGTAAAAGTAAAAGCAAGGAACTATAATTTATGCCACAGTGTGGCAACGGGGTCCAGAGAGGAATAAAATGACCTACACCACCAGGGCCGAGGACTATACAGTGGTTCAAATATCTAGACTACATTGCCTTGGCTTTACAAAATACTGGGGACATTTTCTGCCTTTCATAATTCACCATAGCAATCTGTCACAACCTGTCAATAAACACAAATCAGGCCTTTATTTTTGGCCACGGAAAAAAGAGTGTGGTTGGGGGGGGGGTAAATAAACACTGCAGAGATGAATCACTTGTCCTTTCTATTTATTGAATGTGGAAAGGTTTCACAGTATGCTTACACAGACAGATATCTTCAATGATTACCACATTATAACCAGAACAAACATAAATGTTCAAGCAATGTCTGATGTGTACGGTACAAATGTATAAAAATAATCAGACAAATTCTCATTTGTACAAATGTTCAGGAAATCTCTGTGTGCACATGTTCATGATGAAATCTCTCATGTGTACATATGTTCAGGAAATCTCTCGTATGTCCATATGTTCGAGAATTCCTCATGAGTACATATGTTCAGGAAATCTTTTGTGTACATATATTCAGGAAATCTCTCGTGTACATGCTCAGGAAATCTCATGTGTACATATGTTCAAAGTTCCCCTTTTGTTCCCCACTATTAATGTTGATTACATATCAAACAATTCTACGAGATTTCATGTTTCCTGATCAAACTTTGACTTTCTGGCACATTAACTGTTATATCAACCGGTATATCAACTGTTATATCAACCGGTATATCAACTGTTATATCAACCGGTATATCAACTGTTATATCAACCGGTATATCAACTGTTATATCAACCGGTATATCAACTGGTATATCAACTGTTATATCAACTGGTATATCAACTGGCACAACAACTTTTACATCAACTGGCAGATTACGACTTTCGGAAGTGAACAGACATTCGATTGGCGGACATCGTTAAGACTTCTCTGTTCAGGAAACGTAGTTCGACATTCTGATACCACATTAATTTTCTGCTGCACGTCATTCTATTTTTAAAGCCTCGGTCACCAGTCTGTCCATCTGTTACCAAAGAATAACTCATTCCAATGACTATAAACATTTACCCAAGAACTCATAATTATAACACAAATGATACAGCGGTAAATTTTTCCAAATCATTTTGGATGGCAGAAAAAAAAAATTATCGTATACATGTTTGTTTATCCGCGTAGTAACGCATGTGTCTGATTAATCTCAACATTGTACACATTTCATATTGACTATAATCAATAGATTGGGACAATTGCATGCAGTCAGACCCCCTTCCAGGGATGTTAGCTAAATGCCTTTTATTTTATGTGTGGCTCCGTTCCATTTTCCGAGTTGGGAATCAGTTTCAATTTGAAGCTGGTAACGGCCCTTGGTTGAGCGAAAACTGGAACAAGATCCAATGTTTCCTGACATGGAGATCAACCTATGTCCATGTACCGGGTATAACACAGGACCCAGACACCATGCTGTGGCGGTCAATTCTACCCTAATGTCATTGTACCAGGTAAGGAATAACAGGACCCAGACACCATGCTGTGGAGGTCAACTCTACCCAATTGTCATTGTACCAGGTAAGGAATAACAGGACCCAGACACCATGCTGTGAAGGTCAACTCTAACCCAATGTCATAGTACCAGGTAAGGAATAACAGAACCCAGACACCATGCTGTGAAGGTCAACTCTACCCCAACGTCATAGTACCAGGTAAGGAATAACAGAACCCAGACACCATGCTGTGGAGGTCAACTCTACCCCAATGTCATTGTACCAGGTAAGGAATAACAGAACCCAGACACCATGCTGTGAAGGTCAACTCTACCCCAATGTCATTGTACCAGGTAAGGAATAACAGAACCCAGACACCATGCTGTGAAGGTCAACTCTACCCCAATGTCATAGTACCAGGTAAGGAATAACAGAACCCAGACACCATGCTGTGGAGGTCAACTCTACCCCAATGTCATAGTACCAGGTAAGGAATAACAGAACCCAGACACCATGATGTGGAGGTCAACTCTACCCCAATGTCATTGTACCAGATAAGGAATAACAGGACCCAGACACCATGCTGTGGAGGTCAACTTTACCACAATGTCCATGTGTAACACAGGACCCAAGCACCTCGCTGTGGAGGTCAACTCTACCCTAATGTCATTGTACCAGGTAGAGAATAATAGGACCCAGACACCATGCTGTGGAGGTCAACTTTACCACAATGTCCATGTGTAACACAGGACCCAAGCACCATGCTGTGGAGGTCAACTCTCCCTAATGTCATTGTACCAGGTAGAGAATAATAGGACCCAGACACCATGCTGTGGCGGTCAACTCTCCCTCATGTCATTGTACCAGGTAGAGAATAATAGGACCCAGACACCATGCTGTGGCGGTCAACTCTCCCTCATGTCATTGTACCAGGTACGATGTAGCACAGGACCCCGACTGAATGCTATGTCGTCTTTAAAACACCCTCAGAATCATAAATAATAAATATATTACAAAAGTAATTATAAAGTAACTATGTTATTTTTATTTTGTAGACACCTTGCTGACATATAAGTGACAGTGCTGCCACCTGTTCATCTGTCACTGAATATAATTTCATTTTAACGCTGGTATTTTACTGGTAGCAGTTGAAGGAATTTTTTTTTTTTTTTTTGGTTGCTACCGGTAGTCAAGATTTGAAGTACAGGTACACAAGTCTAGACAAGACCAGACAAGCAGCTAGCCTCATAGAAAGCCCCTTTTAAAACTGTGTACCTCTTAATTTGATACATTTCAATCAAAATATAATATAATGATCGTTAGGTATCAAATTAAGAATAAGTGACAGTGCTGCCACCTGTTCATCTGTCACTGAATATAATTTCATTTTAACGCTGGTATTTTACTGGTAGCAGTTGAAGGAATTTTTTTTTTTTTTGGTTGCTACCGGTAGTCAAGATTTGAAGTACAGGTACACAAGTCTAGACAAGACCAGACAAGCAGCTAGCCTCATAGAAAGCTCCTTTTAAAACTGTGTACCTCTTAATTTGATACATTTCAATCAAAATATAATATAATGATCGTTAGGTATCAAATTAAGATTCATATACCGGTATATATATTTTTGTTTTGTTTTACGGTACCGTACCATAGTATCAGTGAAAATAAAGACGTTTCCTTAATTCTTAAATAATTGCTGTATTCATTTTTGTTCAGTTTTCTTTTAGAAAACTTTTTTGTAAAGTGGCACGAAGAAATATTGAATGTCGGGATTATTTTTTTGTTGAAAGAAATTGAAATTTTCCCAACATTTACTTTACACAAATAGCTGTAGTTCTAATTTAATGGCAATCGGTTTATTGTACCGTACTTAACTTACATAATAAACAAAAAATAACCAATTTTCCCTCGAGAACAAAACAAAACTAACTTTTGGTTGAATGAAATCTTACTCTCGAGGTGAATTTCAGGTCATTTTTTAACTGTCTTTTTCTCATGTGTGGCCTTTTGTCATGTGTCTTTTTAAAATCAAGTGTCCAATTTAATGTTTTTCTTCCCAATCACTCTATAGATACAGCTGGCTCTTATGTCTAGAGAAACAGCTGGCTCTTAAGTCTGAAGATACAGCTGGCTCTTAAGCCTTTTGTTAGAATATCATAATTAACTGTTAAATTTATCTATGCAAATCTGTTAAGCTTGCAAGTTATACCTAGTGAATTTTCATTCTTTGAACTTGTCATATTTTTGAACCAAATAGACACGACCTATATCATTATTAATTTATTTTCAATAAAACTGTCAATACCGGTATGCAGAGACCTATGGCGGTTGCAGACATGCTTAATTTTGTTAAATTGAGAATTACAATCACAATTGTTTTTTTGAACAGAAAAACATTAATTAGTATCCACAATTGTTTGCTGTTGTAAATAACAACCCAAAATAACAGAGACAAATTAATTGAGTTTTTTTTTTTAAACAGAATTTGATTGGACTAACTAAATTAGTTTTGGAATACAAAATGAAACACCATCTTACCTGGAAAAAAAAACAGAAACTAATGATACAGAAAGTAAAGCACTAGGATGGAGAGACTTTTTCACTTTTATTGTAATAGATAAACCATGATATGAAACACACAGGACAAAATTCTACACCGGTACAATGAGACATATAGGACAAAACTCTACCGGTACAATGAAACAAAATAGGACAAAACACTGTACAATCAAACAGATAGGACATGTCGGCACAGGCATGGACAAAATGTGTGTATTAAGTGGTTCAAATAATAGTGGATGATCATGCAACCGACACTCACGCCAACAACTTCCAATGTTAACCACCAGCTCAAAACTACATCCCAAGTCGTTTCAACTCAATTGTTTGGTTTATATCAAGAATTGTTAAACTTTCTTCTCAAATTTTAGGTATGGGGGGAAAACAGTTGTGATCACTATTTCTACTTTTTAAAAAAATCATGTTTATAATAAAAAGAGTTTGTACTGTACAACTGTTGATTTAATTTCAAAAAAACTAGGTCAATTTTTACACTTAACTGATCATGTCTCATCTCCAAAGGGAGAGCATCAGTCGTAACAATTTCAGGAACTGTTTGTTGACAACACATAACACTCAAAGGCGCAACTCGGCCGGCTATTGTTAATCTGTCTAACCCTCACGTAACACACAACCGCCCATACAAAAATAAACTGAATAAATAAGGTTTTAATTTCTAGCTGTTGTATTTCATCAAATACAAATGATGTATGTAGCCATCAAAACATGCCACCTCATCTCCAAATAAAACTTCACCCCCCCTTCCAAATAAGCCAGATGTATTCAATTTCATATCATCTGCAAGAAACATGTTTAAACAAATGTCACACACAATGCCTGATTATCTAGTCGAGGCAACAGTGTCAATGTCGTCCAGGGGCAACAGTGACAATGTCATCCAACTACTGCACAGCCGAACAGACATATTTCAACAAGTCTTGAACTATCAAGACTTGAATGTTTATCAATGTTTTAAAAGGTTGCAGCACAGGACTAAATGAGAAAAAAATACTGTACTACAATTCAAAGCTATTCCTAAATTTAAAAAAATAAGTTTTACAACAATTTCTGATTTATGAGCGGAACGTAAAAACAAAATTATCTGCCAGGCATTTTCAAGGGGGCTTGTCCCAATTTTTAAAATGTTATGTTTGCCTATTACACAAGCCTGAGCTCATCTTAAGCTGAAGCTACAGCTGTTCCTTCTCTCTGTTTACCTTTCACTTTCATCCCTTGCAGCTGACGTTTCTTACTTTCACAGTCTGTAGATATTCATAAAAATATAACAAAATATACAGATGTCAGTCTAAAAACCTCAAGCACCCCATGAGCAAGTAGCACTCGGGTAAATCATGGCATCAAAACACTCAACAATATTTGATTTATTTACGCACCAGATGAGAGAGAGAGAGAGGGCGGCATTCGACAAATGTTCATCTTTCATACAAATTTACATAAAAACAAACCCATGCTAAATAATTTGTTAAGCCGTTTTTGCACGAATCGCAGCTCTTTTGCCTGTGACTGCCTGGAAACCCGTTTTGATGCTGGCCACGGAACATCTACTGCCGCAGGTCTCACACTGGAGGAAGAAGAGGCGAGTATCCTTCTGAAGCAATGTGTCACGGGAACGACATGTATGACAGGTAACATACTCCTCTGCAAAAAGAAAAGAAATGAGACTGTTGAACACCATCATTTCACTGAAAGACTAAAGATGTCATTTGTCTCAAGAAACACCCCAGTAACATGTCATTTGTCTCAAGAAACACCCCAGTAACATGTCATTTGTCTCAAGAAACATCCCGGTAACATGTCATTAGTCTCAAGAAACATCTCGGTAACATGTCATTAGTCTCAAGAAACATCCTAGTCAGAGCTCAAATGCTCTCTCTGTACACCCAGGCAAGCTGACTCCACCAGACCTCATTTTTTTTCCTCATTTTGGCTCAGTTTAAAGATAAGGCCAACAAAGGCTTGTACTGGATGAGTTTTGATAGCCAACAGTTATCATTGAGCTTTGATTGCTACCGGTTACCATCGGGTTTTGATAGCTATCGGTTATCATTGAGTTTTTTTATAGCTACTGGTTACCATAGTACATAATAGGAAACAATGAAAGTAGAAGTAAAATATCAATAAAACATGGAGCTGCTACTGGGAAGTCAAGTTACTAGAACTTATGCACTTACTTAATGGAGCTACTAGTAAGGAAGTCAAGTTACTAGAACTTATGCACTTACTTATATACCGCCTAAGCACATTTTCTATTTGCTTTTGTGTGTATTTGCCTCTGATTATGAGCTGGTTATTTCCGTCAACAGAACCACTGTAGAAAACAAGTGAATTGGTCATTTAATAACGTTATTGCTGAATTTAGATTTATTTTTTTAAATGCATTTTTCAAAACAATAATAAATTAAATGACATTGCAAAAAAAATCCCCACAAAAAAAAAAAAATCAATACTTTAATGATGACAACATTAACCCCCCAACCTATCTGCCCATTGTTGATCACATGAGAAAATTTTTGATCAAATGAAAACGCTTTGATTTATTCTTGGATCAGAGGGTTTAGATGTGTAATTTAAAAACTTGGATATCAGGTGTTCTTCCCCCCCCCCACCCCCAAAATCCTCCTTTGCCTGCAGCTCCCACCCCTACCCAATATTAATAATGTAAACACATTGAGGAAATGGTTTATATTAGCAAGGGAAACAAATCTGAAAACGCACAACACAGATATAATTAGCAAAATCAACAAAAAAACCCAAAACACAAAAAAAAATAAAAAAAAAAAAAAAAAAAAAAAAAAAAAAAACAGAAAGCAATTTTCTTTGCATTTCTACAAGCTGGGAAATTTTTAAAAAATAGCCTATGGTATGTTCAAAAGAGAATATTTATGTGAAACAAAAATGACACAAACACACACAAAATGGCCGTCTGTTGTAAACTAAATAAATAGTAGTTATATTCTCAAGCAATAATTTTTTGCAGTTGAGCTGGGACTTTTGAATGCTTTGATTGGCAAGAATAAAAAACTGGCAACTATTGTATAGATAGTGTATTAAAAATTTTTTTTTAAATATCTGACGTACCTTGTACCCAACTCAGCTAACAAAAAGGCTAGAACATGCTTTGGTTGTCTGTGTAATCTGCAGAAATAAAAAAAGCACATGCTTATTGAAATGAAATATTTTCAGAAGCTGGTAAGAAAGAGAGAAGTAAGAAAACTTAAATGTACATTGAAAACTGAATCTAACTTTAAAGAAGAAAAAAATAATGCAAATTTTCATCTCATCCTTTATCATTAATCTAAACAATTAATATTCTAATCTAATTCCACAAAAATCTTTCACCATTCTTATCTAATCATTTCAACATTCCAATGTACTTCACAAGAACAATGTCATTTATTCTTACAATCTACAAATGTCTGCAAAATTAGCAAAAGATGTCTTTCTGGTTCCAACCCTCAGGACTTGCGGAGGTCTCATGACAAACTTTTTCTTCTCTCCGGCAATCATGTCGGGATTCTTCTCTCTCATAATATCAAAGACCCGGGTGAGCAGCTTTAGAATGAAATGGAACAGTCACAGGATAAAATATGGTTATCAAACACATGGGTGCGCAGCTTTAGAATGAAATGGAATAATCACATAAAATATGGTTTCAGTTATTCAATTTGGAAATAAAAAAGAACATTAAATATTTACAAGTTCAGTGGCATCACCATGGTCACCCTCCACACCCACCCCGCCCCCCCTGCCAGCATCAGCTCCTTATGCACCATGGTCAGCCTCGACACCCCCCCCAACCTCTGCCAGCATCAACTAATGGTCAGCCTCGACACCCACCCCCCCAACCTCTGCCAGCATCAACTAATGGTCAGCCTCGACACCCCNCAGCATCAACTAATGGTCAGCCTCGACACCCCCCAACCTCTGCCAGCATCAACTAATGGTCAGCCTTGACACCCCCCTCAACCTCTGCCAGCATCAACTAATGGTCAGCCTTGACACCCCTCCAACCTCTGACAGCATCAACTAATGGTCAGCCTCGACACCCCCCCAACCTCTACCAGCATCAACACCTTATGAACCAGTACTAACTGTATGGTTCACCTTATGAACCAGTACTAACTGTATGGTTCACCTTATGAACCAGTACTAACTGTATGTCTGGTTCACCATATAAATCAGAACTAACTGTATGTCTGGTTCACCATATAAACCAGTACTGACAGTATGTCTGGTTCAGAGTTTGCTTAAATCATTGGATCATCAATATTTATTTCTACATTAACTTAAATAGATTAAGCTTGACATTTTCATCATGAAAGCCTGGGGTCAGCGAACCGGGAAAAAATAAAAATCTTGTGGTCATTAGGGCTCAATAGACATGCATAAAATTAAAAGTGTTTTCCCTTTTGCAATTTTCCTTCCCTCTGCCAAAGCCCCATCAGGTCAGTGAAATTAAGAAACGCCCTGGGCGTGTAGTGGTTGGTTACTAAATGTCATACCAGCTAGTGTAAGCGAATGTCTTATCTTGAATGTGTCATTTTAGTCAAAGCGTCTATTTTATCTAATGCTCAACTATGCTCTGGTCAACCCTGCTCCAGTGGCACTATGGGCACTATGTGCCATGACAACCTGCTCTTGCATTAGGCCTGTTATGAAATCGAGCCTTGTCAAATTCCCTTTTTTTGTTCCATTTGGTGTCCCTCAGTGCTGCCCGCTCAACTCCCATATCTGGTGTCACCCGGTGTGGCCCACTCCCTCCCACACCCCCATAAATGCTACTGTTCATGCTCAAGATCTCCATAGACTTGCAAAAATTGCAGATTAAAAGGCCATCAAAATTTGCTTCCTTTTGAAACTACAATTTTCTTTTTTTTTTTTTTAACAAGGTTTTTCCACACTAAAGCACATTAAAAATAAAAACAACAAAGAAATCAACTATTGAACCCCGAAGACAGAATCCAAATTTCTTTTCTAATAATGATGTTAGTGTATAAATCATGATTTCTCCAAAATTTGAAGTGCATTTTTCCCCCAACAAATCCTTATGGGGTTTATTAATTTATTTTTTATATTTATTACCAGTATTCTTCATATAAATAGATTCAAAAACAATATCAATTTTAAATTATCTTTGATTTTCTTCCTTCCTTCCAAATCAAGGAGGGTAGGGGACGTCTGATTCAACAAATATATTTTGGGGTAAAGGCTTAAAAAGGTTTCCCAGATACTTGTTTTTTAAGTTGAGTCGAGTTGAAAATGATAAATCTTGCCACTAAAGAAAACTTCAGAAATTTTGGATTTCTTCAGAAAAGAACAGCCATTTAATCAATAGCAGTAAATTTAAGCAGTCCTATTGTGCGAGAGTTAAGTTGCTTGGCGACCTGAACTAGACAAATAGAGCGATGGGTACAGGTATAAGGGGCAGCAATGTGCTAGAATTATGGCGTACAAAAAGCAGTGCTATACATTTAACAAGTATTATTACTTTTTAATTCCCCCCCCCCTCCCCCCCACTCGGAAAGTTGTAAATATCTTTTGAGTCCATGCATTCTGGCTGGGTCAAAACAACAACATTCCGTTTTGAAGCTTAAAGTATCCCTTTGAACTCCCATTGAAGCACTTCTTTCTTTTAGCTTACCTCATCATAGGTATAGTCTCTGTCAGAACCAACCCATGCAGTGTGGCTCCCAGCATCGTCACCAATCTGCTCCTCTGGAAAAGCCAACAGTTTGTTTTTAATTTAAAGGTCCATTCAGTTTCAGTAAGCTCACTGTACTTGTACAAATGCTTAATTTATGGATATTTTTTTTAACTTAAAATATTTATGGCCAGGCAAGTGTGGAAGTGCCACTACTTGGTGAATCTAGTTGCCAGTGCTCAATGTTTAACTTAAAACTATATAATTCCCTACTTCTACCCATAATATAAGTTGGAATTTTAATTTAGTCTCATTTCTCTAAACCTCATTTAAACAAACATAGGTTGTCTGTTGTTCCATACCTACAAATAAATCACTCATTTATAATCCAATAGAATAGCTACTAAATTAATGAGAATATCAAATAAATACAGGGATTTTTAAAAACCAACATGTTTCAAGAGAGCATACATACACATAAAGCCTGTTAACACAACAGATGTTCATATGTCTTTGATTACAACACATACAGCCTATTGACATAGCAGTCATTCATACGTCTTTGAAGATAATTATTATAACTGCCAAAAACAAGCAGATAAAACCATCCATTGATTTTAATTAAGACCACGTGCCTCTTTAGCTCATGAATTTTAAAACAAGTGTTAAAGAACTGTAAAAATCTAAGGTAACTGATGTTCAATTTATTGAACACAGAAAAGGAAAAAGAAGAGTTCCCTACCATCTTCTTGTCCATCTTCTCCTCCACCATCAATGTTGAGGGGCTTTTTCTTTTTCTTCTTTTTTTTTGTGAAGTCAAGATCTTCTACGTTGAACTGAGACTCAACTGCTGTTGATGGTATCGTCTCAGTCTCTGTTGTTTTCTTCAGGATTTTAAAAAATATATATACCATTAAAATTGGTTGCGTAATTGATATTGGCCAAGTCATAGCCAATCTTTCTTTATGAAAATGGCTGGCCCAAGAAGCCTTTACAATCATAGACCCATATTTCACACTAATGTTACTTCCAGAAGTCACCTTAAACAGTGCGCAAGTGTTGTTTCACAAGAATATACGCCTGTCATCCCCTTATAAGGATTGGTACAAGAGCTCTGATCTACTTTTTAGTTTTATGTCTAGGTGAAGAGCTAAGTGACTAAATTTATTTATCTGAGCATGAGCAGACTTTTGTTGAGAACTTCATGGACAAGCTGGAAGACGAAATTATGACAAACACAGGAAACATTGTGGTCAGAGATTATGTGGATCAAGATAAATATGGTGTCCACTGTTTCAATGCAGCAATACTGAAACATGCAAATGAAGGTCAAACAATTAAAGCATTGCACGTCTTCCCGGATGGAGCTTGCAATCAGTTTAAAAATAGGAATATGTTGTCTGGCACACTTGCACCAACAGAACTTCATCCAGAACTGCAATATATTGACTGGAGTTTTTTTTATTACTGTCCGTGGAGACGGACAAGTTGCCAGAGTCGGAGGAACAGTCAAAGGAGCTGCCCAGGGAAGAATTCTACAGCATCGTGCAATAGTTTATCTTGCAGAAGAGTATACAGTAATTTTCAAATAAGCTGTCCCTGTGTGAATATTCTCTTTATAACAAAAGATGATGTAGCAGAAGGTCAAGCAAAAATTAGACAAGTGGTCAAAATGCATGCCAAAGCAAATTCCTCAGACACAACAGGATGGCCGAAAACCACACTGAATTGGAATTTTGTGACATCAGTCTTTTTACTGGAATAACTGGTGAAAATAGAGCCGTTTTGATGATGGAAGAAGATAAATTGAATATTGAGTCAGCATTCTTCTTAATAATTTTATTCCAATTCAAGCAGATTTGAGAGGAAATCAACAAAAAATATGCAGACCAAATATTATGACACAATATTTTTTTATAATAAGTATAATTTTTACTACTATGCCTATTAGATTTTTATAAATGCTTTTGTTCTGTCTACAGAAGTAAGAACCAAAACCATGTATAGTTACATTACGCACACTTCATGACATTTTTCATTTACACAGAATGTCAATTGAAATAATTTTTCTGAAAGTTACATCCGTTACCATGGAATTCACCTATAGCTTGCTGATATAACATATGCGTTACCTGTAACTAAACCTAATTAACTTCCGAAGTCATCACCTGAATCAATTTTTAACATAATTTGACCATCTGACTTTGAACAGGCTATCTGATAGTATCTTCGTTATTTCTTTGTGGATGCCGGTCGACAGTTTTTGGATATAAAATGTTAACCTCAAATAATTATTGTCAAATCTTTGACAGATAACAAACATCCTTTATTAACATCAGTTTATCAAAATAGTTTCTGACATTTTTTTTCTCTTAAAAAATCATAAAACTATAAAATTATGGTTATTTAAAGTGATTTAAGAGAAATTATTTTTTTTTTTAAATGAAGCACAGGTGATTATCACAAAGAAGTACTTAATTATCACAAAGAAGTACTTACAAAGCTTTAACAAATAATGTCACATCTTCAACACCAATGAAAAAAAAAAAAAGTAATTTAATTAAGCCTACAAACTTACTGGCAATTCCTCCTCTAACTCATCAAGTTCAAAAGCCTTCTTCTTTTTCTTCTTCTTCTTCATGCTGGTAAAATCCATAGAAAAATCTAAAGATAAATGAACCAAGAATCAGTGTAAAGAAATCTGATAATTTATAAACACAGAGCAATAATTATGAACAAACTGAATTTGGTTGACATTTTTTAATTTATTTATTTTTACGTTGGCCCCATCCTAATAAAACTTAACCCACGATAAGCTTAAGGCATGATTTTAGCAAGGTTTTTTTACCATCAGGATTCTGTGACTGCTGAGGTTCAGGTACCTCCTCCTCCTCTTCCTCAGCTGGAGGCTGTGTCACGGTTGGCAGTCCATCAGCAGCCGAGCCACTGTCTTCTCCCATAGCTGCATCCAAATCAAAGCCTGTCTTCTTCTTCTTTTTTTTCTTCTTCATGGTAGGATCAAACGGTAACTGAAACATTTACAGCAATAAAGGTGAAACCTCATTAAATTTATATTTTACTGAATGAAACCTTCAATTGCACTGATTATACAAAAAGCTGTATGTAATGCAATTTGGAAACATACAAAGTTTTCAAGCCAGGCACTGACCAGCTTGTGGGTGGGAGGCTTGTAGTCTTGGTTCGTGAACTGTCATTAATAAGCTATGGGGATGCAGGACCAGAATATGCATTTTCTGTGAGAGCCTTGCTGAGATTGAAAACTTTAAAAACTCAGTTCACTTTAGCAGTGCTGATCTCTGGAATTATCAAAGCTTAACTCCCATATGTCAGTACAAGGGGCACCAGGTAGGTACCTTGGTGAAATTATATATTATGCAACGAAATTTACAGCCTCATGTCGTAATGAGAGAGCATTGCCTTTGTCACCTGTTTGCCTTGAGAAATAAAGTGAAGTAGGATGTACGAGAACCCAATTACTTCTAGAGAAGAAAATGAGAAGTTAATGTGGGTATTCTCTCTCAGATGAAATTACCCGGACCCTGTGTAACAAAACTGCACTCAGTGAAGTCCTACTTTTTTAATATTAATATTTTTGAGAGAATGGCTGTGAATGGTTGCCCAATGCAACGTTTTGCACACAGCAATTTACGATAATTTATAATATTAATATGGACTCAACCAGGTTGTAACACCTAAAATTAAAAAGGCAGTGTCTATTTGTCCGGCAACCAAGTCACATGACCGCCGTAACAAAGTGGCGAGAGATATTGATCGAGGGCCCTTAAGATATAGAAGAAGATATCTTGTCGGTCAGCCTTGTCACGTGACTGCGAATGATTCAAAACTATTGTTAATTTTAAAATCTATTTCTCTACCAAGTAATGTACTGAGTATCTTGAATGCAAATAATAGAAAAAAACTCAAGTGAAAGTGGCTTGTAAACATTTTTGTTTAGTTTGTTATTTGAGTTTGTGTACCAGTAATCCATAAAATAAATTAGGGGCCAGTATGGAGTAGGCAACCAATAAAAGTAAAAGATTTCATTTTAAATTGTTTCAATTGCTACAAGATATTTAAAAACCTCTCATGAAACTACTATTGCTGATGAACGTGATAATATAAATATAGTATAAAATATTTTAAATTAAAATGGGGAAAAAAAACACGATCCTATACCAGGTATTGATCCTCAAATCATAATAACTTCAAGCGACCACTCTACCACAAGACCACACAATATCTGCCAAATTGCACTTCATTCAGAATGATAACAACTACTAGCCGTCTGGCGGTTACGTGACATACGGACGTATATCTCGCGCACTATTTGTCCGGCGCGCCGGACGTGTAGACACTTCGAATTAAAAAATTCTTATTTAAATCCCTTGCCTTCTAATTTCACTCTAAAATACAAGTTATCAAATGTTTTGATGTGATTACCGTGGTAATAATTGAATATTTCATATGTATTTATATTTTACAGATGAATAATTAATATTAAAGGCATAATTTGAACTTCATACAAATTTTGTTGGGAAAGATGCCTTATAGGCCTATATACCTATGGATTTCTAATATTGGGGTTATAGAAAAGGCAAAACATTATGATGGAAATGTAGGTTAAGATGTCCACTACTGTCAACATTATTTTATGACAGAATAGTCCTGTCATCAATGAAAAGCACCAACGTTCAAAAATTTAAAACTCTGATTCTTCTGCGCCGATCCCCATTTTTCCCATGTGTATTATGAGGTAGCCTCTCTTGCCTTACCGAAGTGCCTAACATACGGCACGGCTATGATCCACACAATTTCGATGTTATAAATGACATATTTAGAATTCATATTTAACTCTGTTCACTGTAAATATTATATTTTTATCTCATTTTAAAATAAATTTATAAGGGTAAAGATAAAAGCAAAATAACGGTCACGAAATGTGGAGGAAAACTCAAGAGTGGAAAAAGTGGTTTTGAGGTTCATACTAAAAAATTCATAACTGAACTGAGATTTGTGTTTGACAAGCCGGCAAGACTCAGTCCAGCATTCTGACAGAAAAAATTTTAAATATTAAAATCCAATAATCTTACGAGGTCTTCATCCGCCATCGTTCAAATCACTTAATACACTATTTTTGTAGATGAAGAATAAAATGTATTAGAAAATATCAGCTGTGTTGATAAGTCGAGAACTTCGCACGCTTGGGTAGTGTAGCTTGCATCAGAACACAGAGCTTCCGGTTACTTGGATTAATCTTCTGAAGAGAAGAGTTAACACTAATTCAATGCACAGCTAAGTAAAAGAAAAGAATTAATTATTGGCTCCAGCAATTCGTATCTAACTTAAATTTCTTATAGTTTATAAAATGGCGAGTATTCACTATATTGAATGGGAAAGTCGTGATTACACGGCCGAATATGCACTGGTCTAACTTACTTCATTTGTTATGTTTTTTAGTCTTGAAGGCCAAACACAGCTCATGACTTCTTCTTTTTTTTTTTTTTTAAAAATAAAGACTTTCTCGCTACTC